AATTATCTGACCAATAACATGGCTGCTGTGTTTAACTTTACCAACAGGTGGTTCAAGACGTCTGAGCTCCAGTTTTGGTGAAATTTGAGGATTTATTTGAATATTAGAGCACCAGTTACCAGGTTCCTGTGCGATGGCAGAATCCAATGGGTAGTGTCATAGTGGCTGTTAGTGGAGACTCAAAATTAAACACAATATTTCCAGGATGTTTGTGATCATACTGGATGATGTTTTGTTGGTGACTGATTTTCATCCTCTTCCAATAAGATACTGTTACTGATGAAGTCTAAGTGTGAATGTATTGAATGTATTGCTGCAAGGTGCCGCCAGCAGCAGCACTACATCCTGTAGTCCAGGTCGTGTTTTCAGTAAAGTACAACATGAGTGTTTAACACTTTAACAACAGAGTAACTAAATCTTGTAATAAATTACATTTCAGTCCTGTTGACCTTCATCGGGGACTTGATTGCAATTCCTTGAATGTGTTAGTGGTAACCCAGACAGTGGGACTTACATTTCACTGTAAACATCACCACCGTCAGGCTGCAGCTCCAAGCAGCTCATACCAGACTCAGTGATTTTAACTGTAATGTAAAGGCCTGTTAACTGCACTCCTTCACCTGCTACACCCGTCGCACAGTCAGGTGATCATAAACGTGTAGTTTGTCACATAAAACAAAACTATAATACATTTCCTGTTGGGAGGTCGTACTCTTGGGTTGCTGTGTATAACCAGCTGCTTACGGCCCTGCTTTTTCGTCACCAGTATCCAGTGTCATTTGAAATACAACTACAGCGCTCCACCAACGCTCGCTGGGTCAGTAGTTTCCTGCTTCACAGTCCAGTGGTGCTCAGTGGCGTGTTTGTTGTTTCCACCTTCAGGACTTTTCTTAGATGTGTGCAAAGGATTCTGTTGGTGCCATCATTCATCATTTCATCAGATTTCATTAACAGACATTAAACAAGGTCCTTACTGGATTGCTGTTAACCAGATGACACTCTCTGCTGCAGGAGTGGTTGCCGCAGGTCAGAGGTCGTCCGCAGGGTCGCTTGCAGGAGAAACGACCCTGACGATGACACGGCACCGGGCTGACCTGCCGAGCACAAACAGAGTTCAGCACAGATCCTCCATCATTAGATCTGATGACCTCGTCTGGAGGTGAACGAGCGCCTGTATACGAGTGTGCTGAATACCAAACGACTAAATGAGATGAAACGCAAGAGAGAATTAAAAGAGCGAGAGAGATACAGAGAAGGACAAAGCAGATGAATAGAAGGAGGAAGGAGTGAATGAGGAAGAGGAGGTCAGAAGGACAAACTAATAATAAACGGCGTTTGGAACGAGGGAACATGATGGAAAGGAAAACATTAAGGAGGGGAAGGACGGTGGGAAAGTAGCACAGATAAAAAGAGGAGTGCAGGGAGGAAGTAATAAATCTACAAAGACAGATACGTGGAGCCTTCGTGCTGGAAACCAGTGTCGATGACCAGAGAGGAAGAAGTGCTGAAAGCGTTAAGCCGCATCATCGTCACTACAGTTTAAAGAAACAGAAGAAGAGTGAAGATGGAGGCTGTGACCAGGCTGGCTCTTACCTCGTGTTCTCCAAA